TAGCACCAGCACAGCAGTATCCTGAATTACACCTGAAACTGTGCAACACAGATAATTAGAACTGACTTGACTATATGTGCCTTTATTTTGACCATTTCAGACTATTTTTTTGACCATTGACTTGACTTTATTTTGACCATTTCAGACTATTTTTCCAAAGAGATTCTACACAAGCATAGCATGTGGAGTCTCCTTCTCTGGAGATTTTCAAAACCCACTTGGACGCAGTCCTGTGCCACGTGCTCTAGGTGTCCCTGCGTGTGCAGGGGGATTGGACTAGATGACCTCTAGAGGTCCCTTTTCAACCTTAAGCATTCTATGATTCTATGCTCGTAGCTTCCATGTAGACAGGACATTAACTCTGCTCAACATGATTAAAACCATCCTTGTGTGACTGAGGCTTACAAACCAGATGCATCGCAATACCATCACATTGGAAGATTTTACAAAACAATTCCCTATTACTGTTTCAGTTATTGTTACACAGAAACATTTTAATAGTGTAAAATAGAGAAGTGATGCCTCGATATTTTAGTGTTTGAATATTTCAACCAAAGTTGAACAAGGTAAGTTGAAATGATATCATTGATTACAGAGAGTTTCCTTTGCACTATAGGAATCACAGTTTAGATGAGCAGCTTTTCACAACTTTGTGAAGATGCGAAAAAAACTCATGAAAGAGGATTTCTTCCTCAAATTCTGCTCAAATTAAAGATGTCCATCACATCGAACTCATATATTCACTTCTCTCCTTATGATTTTAAATTAAATTGTAAGTTCTGATTTATAAGGATAGCATGCCAACCAAAGGAAAAATACTGCTAGTACAGCCTTACTATATACTTAATAAATGTGTGACTGTAGTTAGGTCTTTCTCCAATTTTACAACATAAATTGTGAATCAAAACCTTCAATACATTTTGTAAGAGCTGGCAAAAGTATTCTGAAACTTATGTTTATCTGCTTATATACTCATAGTTCTCTGATCTTAATGGGGAAACACAAAATTACCAAATGTATTACTGCAATTCTAAGTTATCAGAAGACCAGTTATTTTGACATTAGAAAAATATGATGAGAAATATAATAGTTCTATGATACAATATCTGTACAATAAATCCTGAGGTCTAGTTTGCAGATAATTTAGATTCTTAATGAGTTATTTCTGGAAAATAAAGTGTAATGGCTGATATATTTATTACACAACAAAATAAGTTTCTGTTATTCTATTGGCTGAGTTTGTTCAGGACATGTCACAATTAAATGTTTTTGCTTAATTTATAAAGCAAATGTATCTCTCTGTCTACCTATCTTGCATAACTGGCACGTACCAGGGCGAGGCATGGGTGCCTTCCTCTCAGTCAGTGATGTGTATTTGTTCAATGGCTTTGGGAAGCTGAACCACGTGAGGGTGACTAATTCAAAGACGAACAACAAAGCCCTTGTGTGCTCAGCACAGCTGGCACTGCCTGTGTTATTTTAATGAAACTCTCTGGATGATCAGTTTGGGAAGGAACCTGAGGCTTTTGTACCGGTATCAGTCCCCTATGATATGAATGTCAGAGTCAACCTAAGATCAAAACAACAGTTACCATTTTCATGTTGCAGCTGTAGACAAAAACATTACTTAGGCAGGACAAGTTCTCTTTATTTCTCCCATAGCCAGCCAAATCTTTAAAAGAGGAGGAAAAGAGACAGACATATCAATAAAAGAAGAAAAAGAGTTGGAATAGACGGCAATGGGTCAATGATGGTTTTCCAGAGATGGGCCCAATTCCTAGAGGAACGTGGAGTGGGATGATCACATCTTTCACTATCCAAAAACTAGGAAAAGAGGGCAGGGTAGCTAGTATAGTGCCCCAAATTTAACCTCTTTCCTGAACCAATAAATCACTGGGGAAAACAGGAACTGTTTCAGAGTTTTGAGCGGTCGGGATAACGATAGGAGCAGCTAGCTCATTCACAGCCTTTCCATTTCTAAGGTAACAAATTCTGGGATGCTGTTTTGTACTCCTAAATTTGCCTCTAAACTTCTCTGCAGACTCACAAAAAAGTAAGATGGATCACAGCTGCTCTACTGAACAGATCAAGATTGAAGCGGAGAAGTGGTCATACTGTGATCATAGATATAATCTTACACAAGTTAAGTGTGAAAATGAAGCTCAATTTAAGCATGGCACATAGGAGAGTCTTCATCTTGATTCCCCTCAGTGAAACGCCTGCCTACTTCCATCTGTGAGGAAGCAAAGAGAATTTCCGTGTCCAGGGTGTCCTGCTGGATTTATAAGCGGTACTTCCATGAGGTCCGTGTGAATAAGAGTACTTCAAGGTTGTCACCAATTTATAGATTATTTTTTAACTGCTCATCAACTATGATATGACATGTCCCTATACCCAAAGGAAATATTTTCTTGGATATTTGCAGGGTATCTTGTCTGTTTGTTTGTTTCTTGTTTGAAAGCTGGTATGGTTAATTCATAGCACTGCTTGCTTGGCACGACTCTTTCAGAATGGGGTATTCAACTGTAAGGTGCTTTCTTGAGCAGCATAATGAGTGTGTTCTTTATTTCTTGAAGTCTGTATCTTCATTTTTATTCTAGCAGTCGAGGAGCACCGATCTGAGGAGTCAGCAAACATATAGAGCATTTGCAGTAGCTCTGAGACTTTCATTATGGACACTCACACCTGCTATAACCCAACATATTTGCAAACATAAAGAGTATTTTTACTCTCTACAGCATCTGTGAAAGTTCTGTCAGCAAATACATTTTGCTGACACTATGATAACTTATAAATACACTTTGGCAATGACAAATGTGGGAAACACCCACGTCCTCAGAGATGGACAAGCTGCAAATCTGCCAACTGATTTAACTATGACTTAAGAGAACAGCACCTCAGGGAAGCATCACCCTTTGAGGAGAGACTACTAGTCTCATTTGTAGAGACAGGTGTGTTTAAAACCAGCTACTGTAGCTACAGGGACCTGTCATTATGGGCAGACTTTCTTAAGTCCTGCTATCTTTTCATTTCCCAAATCTTCTTGCACTGCTTTATGGCATGCAAGATACAATGTGAAGCAACACGTAATAAAAGCAGTTATTGTGAGGCAATCTAAACATGGATTAAATAACACACTGCTGTCATTAAGTTAAAGGTATTTCCTCTTACCTTCATTGAATAGTTAATTTGAAAACATCCCCACAGTAACATTTGCCACCCTACCTACAGGTTACCTGTTACCCTACCTCACAGGTTGCCTACAGGCAAACTGCTACCTGTATAACTCAAATTTCAACCTATTATTTAGAGCAGCATATGAAGTATGTGTAAGACTGGGCCTCTGCAGGGTAGACATTCTCTTCCAAAGCCTCACCATTTGCAGATCTCTTTGACTCAACATTGTAACTTCCTTGAGGAACAGCTCCAGAGCCAAAAAGAAGAGAGTGGCTGGTCTCAATAAATACAGCCCAGCTATTTGCATTCCTTTGGCTTGCAGACCTCACCTCTTCTTCTACTCAGGACCATGTGTGTTCTGCTGAAGTTCTGCAAGTGAAAAAATTTGCCACACATGCCACTGATCTAAAAACTTGCTGCATGAGACAAGAAAAGCTCCAACTTCTATATTCTGTTGGGGCTGGAATGCTGCATACACCATCTACTTCCTAATGGCAAAAGCTTTCTTTACAATTTCATTCAGCTTATGGACCACAGTTGGTCTAACTTTTCTCCCTGAACAGCTAGGGTGAACTGGAAAAATCTAAATCGAATAACTCAAAACACTTTTTAAGATGAACTATCCGTAGCTCTTCTACACAGATTTTATACTGTTTCAGGTTACATAATCATGTAACTTTAATAGATAACCAAGATTTGTATCCTGCAAATAGCACATCAGCTCTCCCCAGACATCCTTACCTAATAGCGAACTTCAGTCCCAGGCCAATCCTTTTGGCATCCTGCTATTGACATGACCTCATTCTGAAAAGACAGCATTTGGAGCTTCTTTCCCCCTTCACATCTTTTAAATAGATCACTCACCATTTGCAAAGGCTGGATAGCCAAGTCCCCAAAATAGCAACATAAGTAAGTGACACAGGTATAAACTGCAGTCGAAAGCAAGTAAAAACACAGTATTTTCCTGCAGGGATCCCCATATGTGATAGCATGTAGTGCTTTTTAGAATCTTCTTTTGCAGTCTAGCCCCTTCCCGTCACTCCCTAGAGGTCCGTAAGATTTCAGCTCCTCAGAATCTGTCACTTAAGACTGTGCTTCGGCATATGGAAAACATGAACATGTCTGACCACCATCTCTGTGAAACTAGAAGCACAATTCTCATTTCTTGATGATTATCTCTATCACAAACACATGTAAGGCAGAGATTTTGGGACACAACTAAAAATCACTTCAGTGATGACATACATATGTGAATAAAAGACATAAAATAACAATAACTTGAAATCATAATTGCCAATGAAAGTGCGTATTCTACCCACCAGAGACAAAAAGATCCCAAAATTGTATTTGTTTTTTATTATTAATGAGTCTGTAATTATCACTGTACTAAAGGATTTTTCATCCAGTAAAACAAAAGGCAAAGAACACGTTCTTTGAGAGTTCATGGTTATTACACAGGACAAATCTATGCACAGACTAGCAACTGCAAGCACATTTATAAATTATATTTTTAAAATATTCATAACTTTGTGTCCACTAGGAATTGCAGCATCTCTGATACAACGGGGAGAATTCATGTCTAGCCTCTGCAGCCTGTCTTGTTTAATCCAAGAAAATCCAGAGGGTCATTTAGAGTATTGAAGAGTCTTATTTTCTCCATTAAGGGAATTAAGGCTTTTAACCTCAGATTTATAAGTTACATGACTTCACTAGACTATGTGAATATCTGTCCATTATTCACATTATATTGTAAAAAAATTATATGGAAAAAAAAAGAAAAACAAACAAAACTTTTGATGTATGAAATGATCTTGACATCTCACCTGTATTTCGTGCAGGTAGAGTTTTGATGTGAAGGATCTGGTGGAGTAAGGGTGATTCTTGGCGAGACCTGTGCTGATAGCAAAAATCCCAAAGCTAGGATAATGAGTGCTACACCAGTACCTAAAAATACAGATAAAGAGCAATGTGATACTTTTCTTCAGAGAACATGAAATAACTCCCTATTGAACTGAACTATGCTTGGGAAAGCAAGACACTCCATTATTATGCACACAGCATTCTCCAAAACCAGAAAAAAGAAAATATCATCCTTTTTATATCCTCATCTTGAATTAGACTAGATGTTGAAGTTAAGTGCATCAGATTTACTGTGCAGACACTAAATTAATCACGTGAAACTTTGTTTGGCATGTGAAATTCAAGACTGCAAGAGTGAATGGATATATTCCCTTTTGTGATGAAAATTATTCCATGAAGTGGAATAAGTGGAACTCCAATGAGTTCCATTTAATAGCAACTTTTAAATCACCTCTCTTCTTCCCACTGCCCAACTTTCCTGTAAGATTGAAAAGTATCAGATTCTTCATCAGTTTCACTTGCCTTTGTGAAACACGATAAATCTGACTTTCATAGAAATGCCACAAAAAGGCCCTACTGCAGTTTCTGAACTCCCATTTCAAGCGCACACAGGGCAGACCTGCTAGGGAAGAGCCCCCTTCCATCTGCTCACTCCATGCCCCAACAAATCCTTCATACTTGAGCTACAACTGGATAAAATGCCGGGAGGAGGAGCAGGATGGCAAAAGAGATCCAAACTATGTACAACAACAGTCATCAGCAGAACAGAACCACATTTTCCTGCCTTGTCATACAAATGAAATGTGCTGTGCCATTGATAGCGCTTCACTACCCACGCTAATAAAACCTACACATCTCGCTAGTCTAAGTCTACCTTATGCCAAATACTGTGCACATCTATTTGTATGCTCACTGCTTATGTGGTTCGTTTGACCTGACAGTTCCCAAAGAACACGTATAGCCTGATCTGTAGGCTTCCAGAACAAAAAATACAAAATGAGGTCTTTGTTTGGGAATTAGATACTAATTATCTAATGACATTCTCCTTACTATCCACAGATTCACAAACTGCTAAAGAGCTCCCCAGCTGGAAGGCAGCAGACGTCCAGCGGGGTGCAAGGGTTTAGCTTGAGGGTTGAGGGCAAATGAAGAGCATTTTATTCAATTCTAACTACTTATCATCCTCTCTCTGCTCTCTATATAAGAGCATAAATCATTTTTTCAAAAATGCAATCCTTTAAAAAACACAACTACATAAAAAACCTTAAAAGGTCACACTATTAAGTGTAGGAACTACACATTATCTGCTTCCTATGGAGCTTCCTGGGAAATGCTTTTTTTCCAACAAGAAAAAATTAAAAAAGAGGCTTTCTAGCAGGCTAAACCATGAACTGTATGAAAAATTCCTCCTGAGGTATAAATAGCATCTTAAGTAGCAGGAAGTCTAATAAAATAATTCTTGAGGACATCTGCAACAGCCATGGCTAATGGACAGGAATGGGCATGAACTAGGAGTTTTTGGACCACATATTTACCTGAACTGGTAGACCTGCTTCTGACACTAATATCTTAAAACCTGTATGTGGGGAAAACACCTCTCCAGCAGTAAAAGAAGGTTCATCTTATTCTCTGCCTGTTTTGTATTGCTATGCTGACTAGGTATGCTAATGAACGCAGGATTTTGTGCTAGATTCATTGTACTTTCAAAATGCCATAAACCAGACGGCAAATATCTTTAGACAGAGACTATAATCTTATTTATATTCATTATAAATATGCTTTGTCTGTCTTTCGAGTTAATCAAATACACTAACAGTCACTTACAGTATGCCTGCAAATTTCCTACCTCTTTGCAAAAGGACTAAATATGCAGATTTGGTACAAGAAGTTTACTATATATTTTCATTCTGTAGGAAGCTTTTCTATGATTAATAAACTTATACCATTACTGTATATCATTACATAAACTGAATCAGAAATGTAGCATTCTAAAGACATTTTAGATTTTCTCTGTCATAAAAAGGACAAATATTTCAATATACTATATATATTCTATATAGGACTATATATCGGTCCTATATCCAAATATCACCATGCTTTCAAATTGCCAGTTTCTGAAGGGAAAAAAGGACAACTCCAATGAAATGGATACTGCATTTATCAAAACATATGCAAGTTTCCCAAAGAAGAACTTTGAAGAAAGAACTGAAGAGTAAAATAAATATAGAGAATTTATGCCAACACATAAAATGAACTGGAAACTAAGAAGAGTCAGTAGTTAACCGCAGCAAAGAGAACTGAAAAAGTAGGATTTTTTTCTTTCTCTTTTTGGCAGGAGCAGTTTATTATTATTTTCATAATACTTCTTGGGTCTCCCAGAAAGGCTAGATTTTTCAAAAGAGTTCCTTGCAAATTATAAAAATACTCTAAATCAAATGCAAAATAGCCCTTTCCCAAATGTGTTCAGAGAGCTGAAAAAGCTGCACAAGTTTACAAGATTAACTTAGAACATGCAGATTTAAGCAAAATACTAATGTTGCTATCCCTCCACTAATGATTCTCATAGTTTATCATCTAACAAACACTACATCAATTAACCTTTACAAATAAACCCTTGGAGCAGCAGCCCAAGGCAGTACTTTTCTCCTCATTTTCTCTAATGGGAGGCTGGAGCGCACACAGTTTCTCCAAGGACCAGACAGGCAGCTATTCTAATAACTTAGTATGAAAGGCAATTTCCTTAGGAAAGAAAACCAAGAAGAACACAAAGAAAAATAAGTATACCCCATGAGAAAACACACAGTGTGAAAACAAATCCATCAGCAGATTTAATAATTATTGTTTTATTCTGCAGCCCTCTTGCTAAGTGAAACACCTCATACCCACCATTACCTAAATCTAAATGTCAAGCATTATATAAAAAAGTCTGAATATGAGTGAGAGATGACACAATTTCAGCATTGCCACTATCTGTACTTCCTTAAGAAGAGACCATAGGATACAGAACACAGTAAGTAACACAGCATGAATCAAGTGATGATGCAAACTGACAGCAGGCAACCAGCTACAGAGAAAGGACCGAGCATATTTTTACCAGGCAATTATTTTTTGTTCAAATATCACAAACACTTAACCCTAACCATTTCATTCTCCTTTGTTCATTTTCTGCCTCATTTCTATATTTGCCTCTGCTTGATGACTAATATGCTTTATAAGGGACATTTATATCTACATTTCCCATTTACAACTGTGAATGTATTAAGCAAGAAAATAAGAGCTCCAATTTTTCTGTATGGAAAATTCACATGGGAATCAAACCTATGCGACTGGCTCCATATGGGCAACAAATACCTGAGGACCTACCCAGAGGTATCAGGAGCTTAACACATAATAATATAATTACTATTTTAAAATATAATAATACAGTAGTGTAACAATTTGACATATTCTAATAGTGTATAAAGGAGATGCATTACCCCAAAATACAAGCATCAGTGCAGTGCAAAAAGAGCTTCACTGCATGTCAAGGCAAAGAAATAAGACAGGGCCAAGGAGGAAACAACAAAACCAAACCCAAGTGGCACTGGTGAGCCATGGGAATGGTAAAGTCTCCCATTGTCTGAAAGGCTTGGAACTGGCTGGAGACATAAAGAACGGATTGGGGAAATGTATTTTAGCTAATCTGGATGTAGATGGTGGTAACAGTATCACTTGGAGATTTGTGTGCAAGTTTTATGAGCAAAGGCAAGTGCTCCACCAGCCGCTTCTGTCATGACACTTTTGAACTTGGATCATGAAAAAGCATGAGGGTTCTCGATTCCAAGACAAAATACAAAAAAGGGCAGATACAGTTTTATTATAACTTGGGCAAACCAATCTGACTCCAAATTGCATGCTTTAATACGAAGATCGGGCAGGAGTGTAGCAGACCAGATGCGACACGGTGCAGTGCAGTCGGTGCTCTGCCCACATAAATGCGTTACGGATGTAAATTAACTGCTGTTATTTGGGAACTGCATCCAAATTGCCAGCGCCAGCTCTTGGCAGGTGGGTCCCCACTCTGCTATGTTACATTAGCCTGCAGCTTGGGACCCTCACAGAGCTAAACCATGGAGGCATTCAACCTTCCCAAGCTGTTCCAGCTGTGAACACCATTTTGAGAGAAGGAAGTACAACTTCTCCCTCTTTTCCAAATCTTATTCTTGAAAATGTCTGAATTTCTTAGACATTCAGCCAGACGTGTCTGTTAGAGACTGTTCAGCCAAAATGAGCGCTTGAGGGTCTTACAAGGGGCCTAGGAGGGTGACTGGCAGGACACGCGGAGCACAGGCAAGACCCTTTCTAGCTCTGCCTTTCCCAGCTTCGCAGGCTACGTGATTGAGTGATAGGGCTGGAACACTTGGATAAAACGGACAGATTCACAACAGAGCATTTTATTATCCCCTTTGGGAGACTGACTGATGCCCCATTACTACAATGCAAGTATTAATTCCATTTGATGTAACTATGTGCAGAAGTGCATTGCTTGAAAAAGTACCACAGTGGCTGTGTCTTATGCTTTCTCCAGTAGTTCATGATAAGATGTTGTGAATTCACATTAATAAGCCAGGAATCACATATCACATACACATATGTGCACAAGATTTAACAACCAAATCTGAAGTTCCAAGCATTTCATTCCTCCTGCTGATCCGAAAAAAAAAAAAGATGCAAAACTTTTTCTTTTCTTAGTGGTGTACTACATTCCTATACTTTAAAAACTAAATAATTTGGGGGAGAAGATAGGTCAAAGTTACAGTTTAGGAGAGAATTACTTTCATAAAATTAGTGCTGCATTTTCATTTAACTTACAGCTGTGAGGAACATACAGTTTGCTCCTATTAAACACTCACCTGCTAAGCTACCAAGCGTCAGCTTCCGCCGCCCCATGCGTTCCACCAGCCAGACGCCCACGAGAGTGAAAATGAAGTTAATAAAGGCCGTGAGCGCGGCCAGCCAGATCGCGAGCCTGTCGTCCTCAACTCCTGACATCTGCAAAATGGTAGCACTGTAGTACCTGAAACACAAAACCAAAACCAACGTTTGAATTTTGCTCGTGTTAAAGTTTCTGATTTGAAATCAAAACGGGTCTTAAGAAAGATCCTGTTTGACCTGCTGCATAATGAGGCCATGGACTGACACCCAATTACCCTGGGAATCAGGCATAACCGAAGAAAACTTGTGCTTGCCTGAAGTTTTGACTGGAGGACATCAAGAGATAAATTGCCATTCCCTTGGCTGTTTGCTTTTTCAATGGTCAGTCTTGATCTGCTTGAAATAGGGTTCACATTTTTAATTTGAATTAATGTGCTTTTGAAGCTAGCCATTGCTTAGTATTCTATCTTTTTCTTCCAAAACAAGCAGGATTTTAGCATTCAGTATACTCTCTAAGGAAAGATATTTCAAAAATCAAACATGTTTTCACTCCAGCTAAAGGTCATATATAACTAATCCATGGCATACAACACATTGCAACTGACACTCACACCTCCTGGTTTTAGGTTTTTCTGGTTTTATTTAACTGTCGCTGAAGGGTCTGAAACAGCTGCTCCTGCATTAGCTTCTCCAGCTAGAATGGGAGTGCTTGGAAATGTCAGCAGCACATTGCAGGAATACGAATCCGCGTCCACCACATTTGACAGAAGTTTCTTTTTAAAACAAATCTATCCTTCCACACCAACAATAACTAGTAAATAACTCAAATGAACAAAAAAAAAAAAAAAAAAGGAATCCCCCATCTTTTTTATTTTTTTCCATAGACATCAAATGAATACAGCACATATGGTCTCAGGGAGAGCTAAACAAACACTGCAGGAAATACATGAGTAACTTTGTTCATGTTGTCCTTTTTATTCTTTTTTTTTTGGTAATCAGTGCTGGCTGAAACACTGAATATCCAGTCCCCCAAATACACAGCAGCCCGTGGCCTTTCACACAGTAATAATCGACAAAAGTGTCAAAGTTCACTTTTTCTTTCTTACAAATTCTGGTTAACATGCAGCTGCTCTAGGCACCACCACATTGTCTTAATGTCCAGATGTGTTACTCTCTGAACAGTGATCCACATTTTTCTCTTCTAAATAACAATCAATTTTTATTTCAAACCAATAATCCATGGAGGACAATGAGACCAAGTGACTATTTGCCAAAGTGCTCAGAGTTACCAGCCGTAACTAAGTGTCCCTCCAGCTGGACACGGCTTCCTTCCGCCTTCTCCCAGCGAGGGGTTCAGATCCTCTGAGCGCCCCGAGGGCCTCTGAGCTCCAGGCTGTCACTAGCAGCTCGCAGGGAGCAGCACGAGGGCATCTCCAGACCCAAATCTCAAAATTCCAATGGAATGCAATGTCGGTCTACTGCAATCGCCAGCTAGCAGTACTTACAGAGTCCTGATTCTAAACAATTTGAAGAACTAAAGAAAGATCACTTAAAATCATGCAAATGTCCAGGATACACAAAATCAGGCATTCTCTGTACCCAACATCCCCTGCAGGTGCTCACTGAGCTCCCTGGGTAGATGTCCTGGGTGATAAACTGCAGATTTCATGTCTATGGAAAACAAACCAGGGAAACTGGGATTCTGCAAACCCCCAAAACAAGCTATAAAACCTTATTTGTGCAATAACTTTAAGGCTTGTCATTGTGTAGCAATTGAATTTCAAAAATTAGAAAAAAAAGGAAAGAAAAAGGCAATTGCATATCTTACTATAACTACTGAACGTAATTACTTAAGTCATCATATTTCAGTATTTCCATTTTTAAAGCCAACCTGTGCAGTCCTAACTGCCTATTAAGTGTAGCAAGATGATAGGTTTTTGTAATTTCTTCCTGACAAGAAGAAAAACCATGTGGCAGGGAAAGGTCAAGCTACTGGATTATACAACCGCTCTGAATACTGCAGCTACCAGAAGGAATGCAGCGTGAGAGTCACAGTTGTGAAGTCCCGGTCCTGAAATGTGAAGAAAATGAAAAAAAAAAAAACACACACGTGCATCTGCACTTTTTAAACAAGTGCTTTAAGTACAAAGCTACAGAAAATGACTGAGCCAGATAAATATTAAAATATGTTAATGTCGATCATTTCTGAGATGACTGTTATGAAGCTCTTCTATCAAGAGTTGCTGCACACAAAAAAAACACTTGAACACTTCCACAATGAAGAATTCTCAGATCAATCTTTTTACTGTATGCATACACTGAAAAATGCAGTTTAATTTTTGAACTAATGACCCCCCTCACAACATTTCCCTCTCTTCTCCCTTACAGAATCAATATTTTTTAAAGTTACACTTTTCAATGCTGAAGGAGACTCCTTCCCTTCTAGAAAGTGTCCAGACAATTTCAAATGCATTAGACTATCCAGGTTAGTTCATTCAATAGCAGACAAGAAGTCTGCCATTCTGGTCTTTTTAGCTTTCCATCAAAAAATGACTGTCAATCAGCTGCCAAGTTGTCCCCATCCCAATTCTGGTTGCCCCCATCCTTCAGGAGGGGCTGCTCTAGCCCATCTGTTACATGAAGGCTACTCTGACAAATGGTGTCTGCTGACGTCCCTGTCTAACAATACCAGCTTTTTGGGGTAGAATTTTTAATTCTAGTAAAGTGAATGAATTTAAATAATTCAAGAACACTTTTTCAGCATTTTAAAAGTATTTATTTTCCATTTCTCTTTTTAAGAGAATAAAATCAGAATACTCTGGCACTGAAGTACAGGGGCTTGTTGCAATTTTCTGGCACAGTACTTCAGAAATCACTGTCCAACCACTCAAACCAGTCAGTCCAACAGTCTCTTGAGATAATGAATCTATTTTTTTTTTATATAAGCTAAAGCAAAATGAAATAATAAGCAGTGCAGTCATAGAGAAATAAAGGATTAAAAACTGAAGAAACCCGACGATCGGACAAATGGCAACAGGTACAAAGTGAAATGTTCAGAGGGCAGTTCCCTCTGTACATGGGGAAATACAACTTTCCTGCGAGGTGACTGAGCACTGGCCCAGGCTGCCCAGAGAGGTTGTGGAGTCTCCTTCCATGGAGATACCAAAAGCCACTGGACACAATTTTGGCCAATTGTTTTGGACAACTCTGCTTGAGTGGGACTAGAAGATCTCCAGATACCTCTTCTAACCTCATCTGTTCTGTCAAATAAGTATACTAACATCAACAGCAGCACCGATATTATAAAACACCTAAAGAAATATCAGGGAATTTTCAATGGGAATTGCCTTTGCCAGTCAGAGCCTTTTCTGATGCTGAAGCTCCCTTAGTTATGGATAATGAAAATGGAAAATCACAGAAAGGATAAAATCTAACCTCGTATTTGGCATTAGACATATAATAAAGCTGATGACAAAAGCTGTAAGAAACATTCCATCACTGTGATTCAGCATCAATACCAGGACTGCAGCATTAGTCAGTTTACAGCCCTTAGATTCCTTAAAAAATTAATTTCCCCTTGGTCTTCGCTGTGCAGTAGATCAATGGTTCATTTTTGTTTACACAGACAAACTAAGAAAAATATTATCTCCTTGTTTCTTTATCAAAATGTGATATACAGCTACCCTACGTTATGAAACATTCCTCTCAGTCATTAAAATATTTGCGTTATGAAAGCAAGGAGTATTTTTTATGCCATACAACTTTAAAAGAACAAAGTAACTAGTCTGGAAGGGACTTTATTAGTCATCCAACTCCCTGAACTCACAGCTAAACGTCTCATAATAATCACTTGTAATAAAATAAAGTAGTTCTATCTTAAAATGAATTAATGTATCCATTGTGTCCAATCTACCCAATGTATCCAAATAAAGGTGGCTCAAGGTTCCCCAAATCTGTGGTGATAATAATTTTCTTCTAATTTACAACAAAAATTTATTCATGGGAAGGCCACATATGTGTTCATTCATTTGTCAAGATCATTGCAAAACTTTTTCAGTTCTTCTACTTCTCTGGGTTTTTTTTTGTCTTTGATTTAATTTTAAAGATCAATTACAATTTATCAAACAGCTTTATGATGGGTTAAATGAGCTTCATTCATAACATATACAGCCTGGAAAAATATTTAATTCATTGAACTTCAAACAGCAATTGTTAAGCTAGAAAGGGAACACTGAACAACTCCGATATACCTCCGAAAGTCCATCCCCATGGAAGGTGGAGCAGATGTCCCCAGCCACACTAGTTCTGCCTGGTCTTGGAGGACTCCCTCACAGTCTTAGGTCTCCTGATGCGACTTCTTACTCACCTTTTCAATTTACCCCCATTTTGAAAATTATGCAGGTATCCTATTGCTTGAAATCACATAATCTGACTGTTCTCCTCTTTAGCATATTCACCACCTCCCTTCAGTTCTGAAAACTGTATCTCACAACCTGCAGTTGTGCCATACTGGAGCCTGACAGCTCCCAAACTCACATGAGGAAATTAAGCGCTGCACAATATTGCTGCAGTGCCGGCATCAGGTTCTCACTTTCTCCAAAATACTAAGGGCTACTATATCTCATAAATATTTGTAATCCTGGTTTGATCTTACATATTTTCCTCTTTAAAAGGCAAAAAAAAATTAAGGATTACACATGCAACTTTACTGAATTCTGCTCATTTGAAGTACAACCATCTATAGGATTCCAATTTAAGACCAACAGGTGAATACATGTTCCCAAACTCCCGTAACTCTTTATTCTCAGCAGGTTCTCTGATTCATTGAATGCTATCTAACAGCTAAGACACATGAGAAGGTTTTAAGGATTACAACTTAATCAGGCTAAGAAAACACTGCATTTTAAAGTGCCCTAAGAGAGTAAATTATATAGCTGTTAAACAAAGCAGATGTACCAAAGTTTGATATGGATTAAAAATACACTTAAAGGCTTTATATACACACAAAAATACATCTATTTTCCTAATTTAATGGATTTTTTTGCCACACAGCTATTGGTCATTTTAAAATACTGTTGCAGTACCATCTGCAAGAGCAGAGAAGAATTTCTTCAAGCTGATTTACCCTGAGCAGGGGTATCT